CATGATAGCGCCCTTACCAGCAGGAAGTAGTTTGGAAAGAACAACGCCCAAATTCCCAAATATTGTGTATAAATGTTTGTTTTCATTTAATTGGACTTTGTTATATAAAATAAATTTAAAAAAAACAAAAACAAAAAAAACAAGCCACTGGTTGTACAGGACTAAAAGTAGAAATGAGGTTTAATTTGTAAATGGCTACAAACTAACCTCCTATAGAGCAGTGGTTCTCAACTGGTAGGCCCCTCTGAAACCTCCCATATTAGATATTCTGAGTATCAGATATTTATTTTATGATTCTGTAAATATGTTTCTCATACTGGTTAATGAATAAAGCACTGTTGGCCAATAGGAAAGCAAGATAGGTGTGACTAGGAGACAAGGAGGAAAGACGAAGTAGGAAGGAGGAGTCAAGATGGAAGACGGAGAGAGCAGACTGCCAGCAGGCTCTCTCTCCGGTAAGATAAGACCACGTGGAGATTAATAGAAATGGGTTAATACTTAAGACAGCTAGCCGATAAGAAACAAGTAATTGGCCAACAGCATTATATCTAATACAGAGTCTCGGTGTGTTATTTGGGGCTGGCCCGGTGGAGGGACAAGACAGTGGTGGTAGGAAAAACCATACTCGTTACAATGAAGTAGTAACAAAATAATTTTATGGCTGGTGGGTCACAACATGAGGGACAGTACTAAAGGGTTGCAGCATTAGGAAGGTTGAGAACCACTGCCTTAGAGTGATAAAAATGTTCTAAAGTTGGGTCCTGATAATGACTGCACAATTCTACAAACTTAATAATATCACCAAATTTGCTTGCAATGGGCAAATTTTATGGTATGCACATTTTATAGCTCAATTTTTTTTATTAAAAAATCTAAGAAATGTGTATGTGTATATATAAAATTCTCAAATTGCCCACACATACAATTCTTATTCCCAACACATACAAAAGAAAACCTAAATAAATAATTCCCAAGGGCTAGAGCACATCCACTATCTTAAATTGCATTTTTATCTGCTTACTGTTCAATACAGTAACTACTGAACACACATACACACCACAGCTAAAGAACACAAATCAGGCAGTCCCACCCAGCTAAGTATTTGGAATGGAAAATGAAACTGCAACCAAGTTCAGATTTTGTTTCCTCTGCGCTGACTACGTGTCGTTTTAATGGCACAAATGATATACCTCGGAAGCATGAAGTTTGATATAGTTCAGCAATGCAAGTCATCAACTACTGTTATGGTGTTAATCACCGGAATTTATCATGTATAATAATGTAATAGAAACGTAATAGAATGTAGAATGGAGCTAATCTTGTTTTCATCTCATTTATTTTTTCCCAAAGTACACTAATTTGCCACCTAGAAAATGACTTGAATGTTTTGTTTAAAAAATGTACATGTCAAAATATTTTTGCACATTTTGATCAAGCAGCCCTCAAACGTGTTCCCTTATGGATCAAATACAAAAATAGCTCCTTTAATTAGCAAAGCAGACACATGGTGTCCAACTTTTGATGGCACACCTTATGGTTTCTCAGCTTATCATGGAAACCTGTTGTTCAAATTTTAAGCTTTCCATAAACTAGCAATATACAGGTCAGCACTGGCCTGTCTCATGGTGCTTGGAAGTGAGAACAAGTCCTAGCTCCCAGTGAGTCACACAATGTAGAGAAACCACCTATGTACTGAAGTATACTAGATGGCTATTATTATTATTATTATTATTATTATTATTATTGGTTTTTCGAAACGGTTTCTCTCTGTAGCCCTGGCTACAGTTCTGGAACTTGCTTTGTTGACTAGGCTGGCCTTGAACTCGCAGAAATCCACCTGCCTCTGACTCCAAAGTGGTGGGATTAAAGGTGTGCACCAACACCACCCCGTTTGGAAGGCTATTATTTTTTGAAACACTGTGTTCTCTGTTTTCATATGCATTTCATGTTTGGAAAATGTGTATAAGTATATACATAAGATAAACATTTAATATTTTATTTTAAATCAGGCTTTGTGTTAGAAGATACTGTTCCACTGTAAGCATTCTGGGTATGCTGACATAGACCAAGGTAAGCTATGGTGTTCAGTCTATTAGGAATACCAAATGCATTATTTTTTCAGAGCCAAGGGTCAAATCACAATAACCAAGCATTCACCGTTACATTGCATCACCTTGCTCTTTAAATAAATCTTTGACTTAAAGTATTTAACTTACATTGAATTTATCCAAACATAAGAACTTAAGAAGTTTCTGTACTCAAGAAGGGACTTGCCTGCTAATCTACGTGTGCATGTTATATACTCACATGATTGTAAGGAGTATGGACATCTCCCATCACATGATTCTATGTATTTTCTTCCTACAATAACCAATGTTTATATAAAATATGTATTCTACTATAGTGCCAGCCAGAAACAAATTGTTTTCATTTTATTTATAACTGAGAAATAAAAATGGGCTCTTCTCATTGTTTACCCAAATAGCTATTTCAAGGTATAAAATGTTAACTTTATTTTCTTCTACTCTTGGCAAAAAGAATGCTATTTAACCTAAACCCTAAACACTCAACCTTATCTAACAAATTCCTTGCTTTAGTACCAGATGGCACATTTTTTTTTTTAATAAAGAGACTCTAGTACAAGGAAAAACATGCTAACACCACAGAGGACATTATAATAGGCAAGCACCCTAAATTTTAATGATGTTTCTTTTAGAACAGTGGTTCTTAACCTGTGGGTCATGACCCTATCACATCAGATATTTATATTACAATTAAAAACAGTAGCAAAATTACAGTTATGAAGTAGCAATGAAATAATTTTATGTTTGGGGGGGGTCACCACAATATCAGTGTGTTAAACGGAATTAGGAAGGTTGAGAACCACTGTTTTTACAAAGATTTTGCTCCTGTGTGACTACTTACGAAAGAAATTTACACTTCAGTTGCCGTCTCTAATAGCTTAAAATAAGCAAGGGGCTGGGAGTTGCTCAGTGGGTAATGCCCAAAACCCTTAATGAGGAGGCAGAGACAGACAAGGCCCCAAAGGGGTGCTCAATGGCCAGTCAACCTAGTCAAAACAGCTGGCTTACACGGGTCAATGAAAGACCAAGTCTCAAATTAGTACTGCAGAGAGTGTCAGACCAGACTTAACTGGACTGAGGTCAGCCCCAGCCTGACCCGAAACACACAAATACAAACACACACAAACAATTTAAAATTAATTAAGGCCAGCAAATTGGCTCAGTGCATGATGACAAGTTCAGTCTTCAGAACTCACATGGTGGAAGGAGAAAACTGACTCCAACAAGCATTCTCTAACCTACCTACCTACCTACCTACCTACACACACACACACACACACACACACACACACACACACACACACATCACAGTGGCAGGCACAAAATACAAGTTAAAAACATAAGTCATGACTCTGAGATTTGAAAAACTAATAAATGGAAAAAAAAAAAAGCCAAGGAGGTATATTGGTATCTTTAAGCTCGAAGATTTGTTGTCTAGCAAAAACTGAAAATTTACTTTTCATGCATTTTAAATGTGTGTGTGTGTGTGTGTGTGTGTGTGTGTGTGTGTGTTTTTAAGACAGGGTTTCGGGTAGACCTTGAACTCTACTTCCAGAATGCTGGGGTTATTGGTGTGTGCTTGCCATCTGCTCTAGTTTTGTGTGATGTAAGGAATCAACCCAAGGACTACTTACACACTAGGCAAAGCACTCTACCAACTAAGCCACGCTCCCTGCCCCCTAAAATATATCCTTTAAAAGCCTGTATGTTTGGCTCATGAGATAGCTCAGCAGAAAAAGGCACTTACTGCTAAGCATGTGGACCTGGGTTTGGTCCCTGGGACCTTTATGGTAGAACAGACTCCTACAAGCTGTACCTCTGACTTCTACACGTACTTCACAGCACCCACTTGCCCCCTCCTCCCCACACACATACATATACACCACAAACTCAAATGATCACATCTCAATTATCAACCTTAGAAAAATAACAGTCACATTGCCTACTACTTTTGAATTCCATCAAACTGTTTCTCAAGAAATAGACCTCCTCGGCATCATTCTGAAACAATCTCTTACCAGTACCGGGCAGGCAGGTAAGCATTCTGCCAAGTCAAGGGAGGAAAAATAAACAGTCCACAGACTCGTGACAGAACAGAAGCTTTCGAGGGAATAGTCTAGTAAGTGCATACAGTAAATGCCCAATAAATGTTTGCTGAATGTTCAAAATTACCACTGAAGGGGATGAAAAGAGGCTCATTTTCACTTTGATCAACCAAATAACAGAACGGATGTCACAAGCGAATCCCTTTTGGGTTTTGTTATCAACACAGTCTCATGTAGAAAAGCTTGGCTCAAACTCCCTATGTACCTGAGGCCTTTCTTGAACTCCTAATTCCTGCTTCCACCTCCCCGGTGTAGGGATTAAGGCACGAGACACCATACCATGCTTGTTTCAGTTTTTGTGTAATTTCGTAAAGTTTTAGCAGAGGTTTCTAATATTTCGACTCCACATACACAAACACAGTCGTCTTCGAAGCCTATAAAACGGACACGAAACGCTACCTTCCTTGCCAAGTGTGCCGTGGGAATCTTTGTAAAAACATCGCTAGCCAGTCAAGTGACAGAGGCTAAAACGCACTCTACCAGATGCCTGTTTCTGCAGGCAATTCTCTAGTAACCATCCAAAACAGTTTACTGAGCTCTCAGTGACATGCATCTCCAAAGCGCTGACCCAGGGTACGCGCACTCTATAAGGCGTGTGCTCAAGATAGCAAGGCCAAGAACGGCGGGGAGACCTCCGCTGAGGGTGATAACTCACGCCCGCTGCTCACCAACCGAGTGTCCCTAGCAAAGGTCCAAGGGCAAGGACATGGATGCACCCCAGCCGCCTCAGCAGCCCGCCTAGCGCGGCGTGGGAAGCCGAAGAGCCACAGGCTGCCAGAAGCCCGGAGACTGAGGGCCACCCGACACTCACCGCCGCTTAGCCCCCACGGGAAACACTGATTCGAAAGTCACGGACATAGAGCCCGCAGCTCCGCCCAAATGAGGAGCCCGCCTCTCCGCGCATGCGCCACCCTGCGTGCACCGCCCCGCCTGGACTGGTCCACTATCCGAGGCTAAGGGGGACAAAGGGCTAGTTTACCGTGGCCCAGAGGGGATAGCAAACAACGAAGATTACAAGAAAGAATTTTATGTAGAGTTTAAATTTATTTTCCTGTTCTTGTCCCTGATAAGAGCAATGATTGGAGGCTCGACGCGTTTCCCATTGGGCGCGCCCACAGACGCGACCCCCATAACCCTGGAGCAGTGCAGAGGCCTTGCCCGGTGGGCGGGGCCTGAGCAGCGATTGGCGGCTTCGAAAGCGCCTCGGCGGGAGCAGCTGCAGACGTGGCGAGCGTTGTGGAGCAGCGGTAAGGAAGGCTTCAGCTGTATAGATTGGGACCCGCAGAATGGTGGGAGTATTAAGAGAACCAGCCCCCAGTCCTCTACGGGGGTCTTGTCACGGCGCGGTACCGTCACGGTATCTTGGTCTAGAGGTGAGACTCAGTGAGCATTGAGTCCGGAACAAGAGTGCAGTGATGCTCGTCCGTGGCGTCATATCCGCCCGGAGTGGGGCGGGACTTAATGTGCCTTCTGAAGTCTGGACTACAACAGCTTGGATAGGTCCTGTGAAGGGTGGCTCTACTTTGAGCCCTAGATTCCGGCTGCGCATTTAGTCTTGCCAGGCGTCTTTATTGTCAGTGCATCCTGTTGCTTTACTCGTTGTGCCCCCTCGCTTCTACGAGATTGTTTTCACGAGGCATCTTTTCTGTCACATGTTCATTCAAGAACTGTGTCTTAGCACCCACTGTGGTGAAGCGCTAGAAAATAGAAATTGAAATAGTTACAGGCGAAATGTTCATTCAAGGGCTTGCTAATTTTACTGATACTGTACGCCCTCTCTGTCATTTCTTCTAGGAATGACATTCTGCAAGCCACTCAGAATTAAGAATCTTCAGAAGTCCCAGGGAATGTTGTATCTCATCTTTAGGCACCCCACTCCGAGGCCTCTGGCCTCGCTTGGTTTAGCAGGGTCAAGGCTGGTTAGTACTGCGATGGCAGTAATCAATGCCTGCTATGCATATACCCTCCCCGTTTACCATATGTTCTTCAAGGATGAAGTGTTTGTTTGATAGCTGGCCAACTGTTAAACCCAAATCCTTCTCACATGCACACTGCTTAGGGACAGTATCCAGTCCTTTGTCTGTCAGGTATTTACAAGTGCTTATGAAATGGTTCTTGACTGGACTCCCTGGATGACTTGATTGACAGTCTCTGAAATTAAGAGTCAGAGCCTGGGCCCTGACAACCCTAGCAAGCTAGGCTCAGTCACCATACTATCCTCACTAGACCAATTAAAAGGATAAGTCATAGTGAAAAGTATAGAAAAGAGGTTTATTCAGAGTGACCACACAGGGAAGAACAAAGAGGTGACCCACCACCAGGAAGTTCATGTTTGATGCTCATACCTGAGACAGAAGTTTAAATAGACAACAGAAGGCATTCACAACTAAGCAGTCCTGGTCACGGTGTGGTCCTGCCCATCTCTGAGCCATCATCCTGGTTTCAGTCTCTCTCAAAGGAGGTACTGACAAGTTGGCAAAAAACTTCCTCTGACCGACACCAGGTGTCAGCCTTTCCTTCTGCCAAGTTGCATCTTCTTGGTGTCTTTAGTCTCAAAAGGGAGGCACACAAGTGATTCTCCTTAGAATGACCTTACTCTTGCCAGGACAGTAATAGGGCTATAGATTTTAGAATCATAGTAATGATAAGACCAACATAGTCCCTGTCCTGAGCCTGTGTGTGTGCACACGGGTGCACGCGTACACACACACACACACACACACACACATACAGAGAGAGAGAGAGAGAGAGAAATTATTGTAGCTGTGGTAAAATAATAAAGCTGATGGCAGGTGGTTCTGTAAAGACAATAAGCACTGGAATATTGTAAAATAACTTTTTATTGGATGGGTGAAGTAAGTTTCCAGGAAGGAATCAAACTGAGAACTGAATTACAACAAGAACCTTCTAGTCAATGGTTGCTGCAAGTACAATGCTCCATCCCCACCTCAAGGGATCCTTAATCTTACAGGAACTAAGACACAGTGGAGCTGAAGAGGTGGGCCTGGAGAAGCAGCTAAAAGCCCTAAAATCCTTCCTCTAATACAGATGCACAAACAAAGAAGAAGAAGGAAATGGAGGGGTGGGGGTGGCAGCAAGAAGGAAACAAGGGCCAGGTAATAATGGTCTTATGGACCATGCTGAAGGTTTTGGTTTTGACTGTTAAGGAAGAATGGTCCTATAACTGAACAGTACAAGCAAATGGCAGTCCTTTTTCACAACCTTAATTCAGCTGGGTTTTTGTTGTTGTTGTTGTTGCTGTTGTTGTTTGTTTGTTTGTTTGAGACAGAGTTTCCCTGTGTAACAGCCCTGGCTGTCCTGAAACTCACTCTGTAGACCATGCTGGCCTTGAACTCACAGAGATCCACCTATCTCTGCCTCCTGAGTGCTAGGATTAAAGGTGTTGCCACTCCCTCCTGGCCGTGAATTGTCAACTATTTTTTCATCTAAAACCATGCTATAGTTTATAGTGCCTTTTTAAAATACAGTCAATGGAGTGGGGATGGAGTTGCTAGAATTCTTCCCAGACATGCATTAAGCCCTGGGTTCATCTCTCAAACCACATGAAACCTAACATGGTAGCCCACACCTGTAATACCAGTACCCAGGAGATGTAGGCAGGAAGATCAGAAGTTTATAGCTACCCTAGGATACATGAAACTCTGTCTCAAAAGATAAAAATAAGATATAGAGAGTATCTCCTTGCTGCTCTTTCAGACTGCCTGAGTGAGAGTTCCCAGCAGCCACATGAAGGGCTCACAACTGCCTATAACTCCAGCTCCAGGGCCCTTGACACCTTGTCTAGCACACCCATGGCATAACTATATAAATACATAATAATGTATGGTCAGTTGCATATCTTTTAGCCAGCAGTCAATGTCAGTAAGTTACATGCAGTATTTAAGAAGTTCTTATAATGTTAGATGTCAGTCACAGCCAGGCCTCCTGTGGAGAATAGTCCTCTATTTATTCTTAGTAATCCTGGAATTGTGGGGGACTCATGAGAATGGCAGGCCTGTTTTCATCTTAAACATGGATACCAAAGTCTTTGTGTCCCGTTCTAGAAAGACAAGCTGTTCAAGGAAATTAAAGTCTATACAGGCTTTGTTTATTCTTCACTTTGAAATTATGCTTGTTTGCTTGCTATAGTGGCACAGGTCTTTAATATCAGACTTGGGAGACAAGTGTATCTCATTAGTTTGAGGCCAGCCTGGTCTACATAGTGAGTTCCAGGACAGCTAGAGTTACATAGTGAGACCCTGGGGGTGGAAGGTGGGGTGCTTGCTTGCATTTTACCTCCTGTTCAGCATCCCAATTCAGGTAACAGTAGACTTAGCTGTACCATTTAAAGGCTCTGAAGAAAGTAATAAAGGCTTGGGATCTCCCTTCCCTGAACCACAGCTTTAATGCTCCTGATGGTCACCTGTTGTCGAGGGAGCTATCCCTGTTCAGGGCTCAGGACTGAGTAGGCAATGGAAGACTCTTTACCTGCAGACACAGCAGACAGTAAGATACAATTGGTACTGAAGCATGAAAACAAGACACTACAATTGTCCACACTTACTTCTAGTTTCACATTTCATAGGAAAGCTGCCATTGGGTAAAATATTCCATGAAAAATTCCAGAAATAAGTTTTTTGGATTTTTTTGTTTTTGTTTGGTTGGTTTTTTGTTTTTGTTTTTTGGTGTTTTTTTGTTTGTTTGTTTGTTTTGTTTTTTGTTTTGGGTTTGGTTTTTTATTTTTTGAGACAGGGTTTCTCTGTGTAGCTTTGGCTGGAACTTGCTTTGTAATGGCCCCAAACTCATAAAGAGCTACCAGCCTCTCCAGAATGCTGGGATTAAAGGCATGAACTGCCACCACCCAGCTCAGAAATAAGTTCCTAAGTAACTGGCATTGTATTAGCAGCATTGTAGTATGGCAGAGGGCTTTATTACAGGGCCATGTGTGAGGAGCAAGCTATATAGACAAAAGAATAGAGGAAACCAGAAAGCTAGTGAGGAAAGCCACCATACACACACAGACAATGCAGCACTAGATAGCCCTAGTATTTGTCCTTCTGAATGCTAAATTTATAGTCCTAGATCTACATGACTAGATTAACACACCCTGCCCACCCTGTGAGTGTGTGTGTGTGGTTATGTGAGTTCCTGGGTGTGCAAGTAAGTGTTTATGTATATTTTTGCTTGTGAATATATGTGGGTGTGAGTGTGTGTCTGTTTTAGAGATAGACATTCAGTATCTTCCACCTTATTTTCTGAGGCAGTCTCTCACTTAATCTTCAGCTCACCAATTCTGCTAAACTGACTGGCCAGCAAGCCTGCCTACTCAAGCCTTCTGCCCTCATCCCCACACCCCAGCATCAGATTTTTACAAGGGAACTGTAAGCAACTTATGCAGCAAACTCTTTACTGACTGAATCATCTCCCCAGCTAGCTTAAAAAATACAACAGTCTTGAGGAAACTAACCTGACTTCCTATGAGAGTGCATTAATCACGATGAGTGTTGTACCCGTCACCTACCTAATCACCTTCTACTAGGCTTCTTAAAGCATTAAATTGGTATTTAAAAAAAAACAAAACAAAACAAACAAAAAAAAAACCCTTTTGTACAGACCGTATTCAAATCATAACAGCACTTTATTTATTTATTTTTTAGTTCTAAAGCATCCTGGCTATAGTGACTCACACTTCTAATTACACCTCTTAGGAGGCTGAGGCAGGAAGATTGCTACCATTTTGAAGCCAGACTTGGCTATATAGTAGATTCCAGGCTTGCCTGAGCTACAGAGTAAGACTTTTTCCAGACGTACAGCTCAGTTGGTAGGGTATGGCCTGGCATCTGGGTTTTGGGATGTAGGTACAGCTCAGTTGGTAGGGTATGGCCTGGCACACAGGAAGCCCAGGCTTTAACCCACTGCTGACTAGAACCCAGCACAGTGACTCACTCACTCCATAATCCCACACTTGGGAAGTAGAGGCAAGAGGTCAAAAGTTGAAGGTCAGGCAGGAGAGGTACCTTAGCAGTTAAGAGCACTTGCTGTCTTCTGGAAGACCCAAATACAATTCCCAACACCCACATTGGTGGCTCATAACCAGCTATAACTTCAGTTCCAGGGATCTGACACCTCTAGACTCCTCAGACACCCACATTCATGTACAAAGACACATATTAAAAACAAAATAAATATCTATACCTTTTAGGGATTCAGGGTCATGCTCAGCCACATACTGAGTGTGAGCCAGCCTAAGGTACATGAGACCATGCACTAGTGCAGCTTAAAGAGTAAAGTCTGTGTTCTCAAACAATGCATACTGTTAGAAAGGGTAAACATCGGGTGTCTGACCTAACAAATCCTGAGTTAAATAAGATCCTGAACAATTCACACTCAACTTTCTGCACTGGGTTAATGCATTACTGTGCTCTTCTTGTTGTATCCAAGGGCCAAAGAAATGGATGAGAATGTTGCCGAGTTTCTCCGGAGGAGTATCTTGAAAATCCCCTTGTGTGAGATTAAGACCATCCTAAAAGCCTGGAACTTTTTGTCTGAAGACCAACTGCAGACCATAAACTGGCGGCAGAGAAAGGAATTTCTAGCCCAGGAAGTAATTCTGATGTGTGAGGTAAAGTTGTTCAAAATTATCAGCCGAGTAAATTAATGCAATAGAATAATAAAGTTAGACCAATATGTACACATGATTAATGGATTTTTTAAAAGCAAGGTACAAAAAAACAATTCTGGGAAGGATGGGCTAAAATAGTTGGATACTTATATGCCAAAACACCTTTGCTGGTCCAGGTGCTGTATCTGTTCAGTTCCAGAACTGTGTAAGCCAGGGCAGGGATAGCTAGAGTTCAGGTAAAGCCTGGGCTACACAGTGAATTCAGGGTCAGCTGCATAAGAAGACTGTCTCAGGAAGAAGAAAGACTACTAGTGCAGTCCATCCCCCCTACTGTTTAAAAAAAAAAAAAAAAAAAAAACTCAAACGAGATCCAAGACCCAAATGTAATACTTAAACCATAAACTGTGTAGGAACAACAAAATCTTTGTATCTTTGGACTAGGCAAGGTTTCTTAGATCACCAAAAAGGTGGTTTATAAAAGAAAAAACAATTGATTAACTAGTTGAATTAATATTTTTTTTTCTTTGAAAAATTAAGAAAAGCCACAGACTGATGGAAACTATTTCCAAACCCTGATCTGTAAGGAGCCTGCAGCTCAAATGTGTTAGAAAGTCGAAAGAGTCGGTAATAAGAGAAAAGATCATAGATGGCTCCGTGAATAAGAACACCAGCTGCTTTTCCAGAACACCTGATTCCATTCCCAGCACCAACGCAGCAGCTCATAACCATCTATAACTCCACTTCCAGGAGATCTTACACCCTCTTCTAGCCTCCAGGGCATCAGGCACACTCATGGTGCACAGACATACATGCAGGCAAAACACATACCCACGTTAAAAATATTTTTTTAACAGGTAAAAGGTTTGGTTAGACACTTTCCCATAGAAAACATACAGGTGGAAAATTCACATATGAAGAAGTAGTGTTCAGAATCACTAGTCATCACGTAAATGAAAATAAAAGCCACAAAATATGGTCATTAGGATGGCTAGGATTGGGAAGACTAATCATACCTATTTGGAATAGATGGTTTTTGGTTTTTTTTTTGGGGGGGGGTTGTTTGTTTTTTTTCTGGTGCTAGACTTTGGACCTAGGGCCTGGTGCATGCTGAGCAAAGGTATCTGCTGAGTTGTTTATACCTCAAGCCCAGCATATATTTTGTGTTTTGTGTTTGGAATTGAAGCCAGGGTCTCATTTTCCAGCACTTGACAGTTTGTCTAAAAATTTGCCACCATAGATTTAGCCTATGGTGGGCATTCGCTCAAGAGAAACGAAAACAGATGCATATCTGCAGAAAGACACTAATATTAGTATAGTGTTCATCATAGCTAAAACCTAGGAACAACTCAAGTCCATCCACCGGTAAGCAACAAACTGTGTCATATTCACAAAACAGAAAATTACTAGCAGTAAAAAAGAATTGAACTATAGATGCAAAAATGTGGCTCAGTGTCAAAATAATTATGCTGGGTAAAGGAAGCCAGATCAAAAAAGAATCCAACCTTATGTTAGCATTCATATAAAACTAGAAACTATAAATGTTGTGACAGAAGGAGGATCTGTAGTTGCCTGAGCACCAAGGACTGAGTGGAAAAGAAGTGGGAACAGAAAAGGATATGAGAGAGAGAGAGGCACAAGGAAATTGTGCATGGAGATTGCTGGGCGTGTTTGCCACATTGACATACCTGGTTTCATGAGTATATTTATGACCACATCTGAAATTTTTAAATATATTGTCTTACTTGTGGCTGTGATAAAATGCCCCAACAAAAGCAATGTCAGCAAGAAAGGGTTTGTTTTGGCTCACATTCCTGGAGATTCAGTCCATCAGCTCACTGGCTGGTCAGGTTGCATGGACACTCATTAAACAGGAAGTATAGGAAGTATGGCCAGCCCCCAAGAGCCAAATCATACAATTCCTGTGATCTTCCTCCAGTGAGGCTCCACCCTCCACCAAACAGCACCACCTACTGGTGGGGAACTGCTCACCATGTAGGACATGCAAACCACAGTATGTGTGCAGTTTAATGTATGCTCAAGAGTAGTGGGTTTTTTGTTTTGTTTTGTTTTTTAAGACAGAGTCTCACTCTGTAGTCGTGTCTGTCCTCAAGCTCATTTGCAATCCTTCTGCCTTTGCTTCCCAAGTACTAGGATTACAGTTGTGAACCGTCATACCTGGCTTTTTAATGTTTTAAAAATCTAAGTTAAGTGATAATGTGAGATGAGTTTCAGGAGAATATGGACTGAGGCAAGAAGTGGAGATGTAACTGTTGGCTAACAGGAGAGTGTAGTTTGGAAATGGATTGTCAAAACATTACTTCAGGCATACTAATAGAATGCTCTGACCAGCCCTAAAATAGGCTTGAGAGGACTAGCAGCAGACCTACTGCCTCATTTCCTAATCTGTTCACCCTCTCTTTCAGGGGAAGTGTGCAAGTCTTGATGACATGGCCCTTTTAGACATCGTGTGTAAGTTTTGGGGATTTGTCTTTATGCATTGGAGTTTTGTTTCATCATTAGGAATTTCCTGTGTTAATGCAGATTCTAGGGTCTAGAGAGATGGTTCAGCAGTTAAGAGCACTGGCTGCTCTTGCAGAGGACCTGAGTACAGTTCCCAGCAACCACATGATGACTCAGAACCACCAGGAATTCTAGTTCCAGGAATCTGATTCTCTCTTCTGGCCTCTGTGAGCTATTGCATGCACATGGTGCATACAAACAGCCAAAACACTTACACTCATAAAAATAAAATGAATCTTTAAAGACGCAGACTTTAGATTTGAGAAGCATGGCCCCTGCTATTTCCCTGGCAAGTCTAATGCCTCTTGCTGAGTTGTATCTCCTCTTTGACCCTCAGACTTTACCTAAATCTGTGGACATGAAATAGTCCATTCCTGCTTTCAGGACTGTGGGAACTCAGGACCTTTAGAGATAAGAACTGACTCATCATGAGCATATATCATTTGTTGGACTTTACTTTGTGCATATTTGAAAATGTGTCCCTGGGAAGCTGCTATATAATGCAGCTTCACATGCCTTGTTACGTCTTGGATTTTTCTCTTCTTCAGTATTCACATTTTAAAATTTAAGAACACAGATTGCTTTGGTTGGTTTCATGGCTCCATCATTGCTTCCCTGAATTGCTTCCCTGGGAGCAGTGGCTCACATCACTTGCCTTGGTGTTTCCTTTTGGCAGATCTGTATGATGATGATGATGATGATGATGATGATGATGATGATGATGATGATGATGGGGGTGATGGAGTAAGGTTGTGGTAGGGTCAAATGAAAGTGCAAGTCAAGCACTTGGAACAGGAGTGGTCTCTCTGGGTTGGGGGTTCTTTCTAGCATACCCCCACAACATACATACAAGTGCTACAGCACATGGGTAGTGGGTGGCCAAGTAGTCAGTTCTCTCCTACCTTGAAGGCTCCAGGGATCAAACTCAGGTTGCCAGGCTTGTCAGCGGGTACCTTTACCAGCTGAGCTGTCTTTCTGGACCAGAGCCTGGTTTTTATTAATTTGTTGTCATTATATTTTGCCCAGTTTTCTTTATGTTTCTGGGATGAAAACCATGATGAAAAGCAACTTGGGGAGGAAAGGGTCACATTATTTCAGGTTATAGTTTATAGCCCCTCATAAAGTGGAAAGTCAGGGCAGAAACTCAAACATGGCAGGAACCTGGAAGTAAGGACGGAAGCAAAGACCATGGAAGAATGCTACTTACTGGCTTGCTCCTCCTGGCTTACTCAGTTTGCTTTCTTATAGTACCAGAGGACACCTGCCTAGAGGTGGCACCACCCACAGTGGACTGGGCCTTCCCATATCAATCATCAGTTTAAAAAAATACACCAACCTAATGCAGGCATTTTCTAAATTAAGGTTCCCTCTTCTCACGTGTCCCTAGCTTTTATCAAGCTGACAGAAAACTAAATGGCACATACATTAACTGCCTGTATGACAGGAAGTGTATCTAAAAAAAAAAAAAAAAAAAAAAAAAAATCATCTCTATCAATTTTTTCCAGCTATGCTATGGCTGAATCCTCCTGTGATTTAGTTTGCCTCATTTTCTGTCATTAGATTCCAACTGAGCAGCTATTAGGTGGATCCAGGGCTGGAGAGACAGATCAGCAGAGAGTGCTTGTTACCAAGCATCCATATAGCAGTTCACAACTGTCTCTAACACCAGTTACAGAGGCTCCAACACCCTTTTCTTACCTCTACATTGTATAATTACATGCCTGTAGACATACACTCATATATACAAAATAAAAATAAATAATTCCTTAACAATAAAAAAAAAAAAAAAAGTAGACAGAATCAGCTGACCTGAACAAGAGGGAACTCATGGCCCCCAGTCTGATAGCTGGGAAACCAGCATAGGACCAACCCAGACCCCTGAACGTGGGTGTAGTTAGGAGGACCGGGCATCTATGGAGCCTTTAGTAATGGATCAGTATTTATCCCTAGTATACGAATGGACTTTGGTAGCCAATCCCACAAAGTGGGAAACTCTCTCTGCCTAGATACATGAGGGAGGGCCTGGGCCCTATCCCAAATGATATGATAGACTTTGAAGGTGAGGCCTTCCATGGGGAGCAGAAACGGGATAGGCTGGGGTTGGGTGGAGGAGTGATAGGGGAGGAGAGGGGGTGAGGGAACTGGGATTGATATGCAAAACAGCCTTATTTCAGACTTAAATTTAAAAAAGGAAAAAATTAAAAAAAAAAAAAAAAAGGTGGACCCATACAGCACTGGTGAGCAGAGCCCATAATTCACGATTTTGTGGATACTGAGGTCTAGCTGAGGATAGTGATAGTGATAGTGAGCGTGTGAAGGAGAATTAAGAGCTTATGAAAGCACAGAGCACATGATCTTTTTCAGTGGTCAACTTCCTTGAGGAGATAGATCATGTTCAACTTGAGAGCCAAAGAATGAGCTAGCCAGGCAGTAGAGAGAGAAGTTGAGGAGGAAACTGATGGGCTTGGGGCGGGAGAAGAGTGCCAGAGATGCAAGAGAAGATACAAGCTGGCCTCCAGTAGAAGGGAATGTTGAGATAATGCAGAGACTTGGAAGCCACTAGAATGGTGTCAGCCTCCATCCTAAGAATTATGTCAGCCCTTGACAGGTTATGAGCCAAAAGAATTAGGTACTTGTTTTTGAGAGATCATTCTGGTTACAGCACAAGAGAGACCAGAGGGGAAGAGAATGCAGACACCTGCAGGATCATCTGGAGAGGTATAAGCAAAAGAGGGTGGTAGTCAGAATAGAGGGAGGACAGAGGGTCAAGAAATGGGAGGAGCTTACACCTAGCCCAGGGAAAAGACAAGTGGATTGAGTTTGCAAGACTCTCTCATGTCTACACATGAGCTGGGAGCCCTCCCCACTACGAAGTGGAAGCTGTAGGTGCAGGTATATCATGATCATCTTTCACAGGTAGGGGTAGGCTAGCATGTGTCTGTTTTAGGTAAAGCTGTCCATTAGTATCTAAGTCTTGATGTTCACCTTTTAGGTGATGTGTAATGGAGCTTTTGACAAAAGTTCTAACTTTCTGTCATGCCAGTCTTATTCAGAGACAAATTAACAAGTCTAATCAATTTTAAACACAGAACCAGATGAAAAAGTGTAAGAAGAAAACCACTTTAGGGACTGGCATCACACTTGCCTTTTGACATCTGCTACAGATAAAACCAATCAATCAGTGATCTGCTGCCAGGCCCATTGCCATGAAGAAAAGTAGAGGCCTGTTACAGGGACATGCAGATCCAGGAAAGGAAAAGATGCTGAACCTAGGGAGAGATGCTGAAGTTGACAGTACCCTGAGAGCTGGGTCCATATCCCCTTCAGAGTTTAGAAAGCCTAATCTGAGGTGAAGACCCAGATGGAGTTCAGATGGAGGTCAGCACAGGAACATCCCTTGAGTCCAGGATGAAGGGAAAGAGTTGAGTTTGCTGACCCCCTAGTTCCCATTCCTCCTTCAGATACTCTTCACATCTCGTGAAGGGCATCTTCTGAGTCACACACTTACCCTTGCCTTTACTCCATATGCATGTATTGGGTGCTTTATACAGGCAGGGTTAGCCTGGGCGACAGCAGTGAACAAGTCCCTCATCTTCACAAGTGCCTTGGAGAGATCAGGGCCAGTTTGGGTGTAATCGGGGTAGGTCATTGAGTAGATGCTGCTGAGGAAAGAGCAGGCTTGAGAGGGGAATGAATTGTCTAAAGAACTGGAGAAGAGGTCTTGGGCCTCAAGACCTGCCTGCCATAACACCGTTGTCAGAGTCATTCCATCTTGTAGGTGCATGCTGTGTTTTGTGTAACAGATGTATGTAAAAATGACAAATGAGAGATAAAGAGATGGCTCAGCTATTAAAACTTGGTATTCTTCCTGGAGATCCAGGTTTTATTCCCAGCACCCATATGGCACCTGCCAGCCATCTGTAACTCCAATCCAAGGGCGCCTACACCCTCTTCTAGCTTCCATGGGCACCAGCCACTCTTATGGTGTATAGATATAAATTCAGGAAAAACTTCCATATACAGAAATTACCTCTGCCTGTTTAAAAAACTAAATTAAAATAGCAAAAGACCTGGCAAAAAATGATAAACATCAAAACTGAACTATTATCTATATTGAATTGAGTAATTGGAATTTGTCTGCAATAAATTTACTCCATTTAAATTTTATGGTTTGGGTATTTTAAATTTCATTTTAATTTCAAAGCTCTGTCACCTTGTTCATGGGTTACTATTATTTTATAGTATTATAAGTATGTATTTGTGAGAGGATGGGAAAGAAGACCACAAAAACACATTTTGTTCAAATTGTCAGTGTCATCTTACACATTTGTGCTGGTTTAAAAAAAATGAATGTATATTTGTTAGCACATACTTCAAAGTCCTAATATACACCACTAAGCTGTAAGTCCTTCTCTCGCAGATACTCAAGTTTATCAGCACCAGAAGCTTTGGAATGTCTTTCAGATGAGTAAAGAACCAGGTAATGTTTTCCACATTAAATTGAACATCTGAATTTTGTATTGTGGCAATTTAAAAATGAGCAAATGTGGTCTTTTTGTGTGTGGGAGGTGGGGGGGGACGGTTTGTTTCTGAGTCATTGTATCCCTGTGTAGCAGAGGCTAGCCTTGAACTCACTATGTAACCTAGCCTGGCCTTGAATTCACTGTGTAGACAAAGCTGGTCTTGAACTTAGATGGTTTTCCTGCCTTTGCCTCCAAAATAGTGGTTCTCAACCTGTGAGTCAAGACCATTTGGTGGGGTCAAATGACCCTTTCCCAAGGGTTGTTTAAGACCATTGGGAAACACCGATATTTACATTATGATTTATAACTGCAGCAAAGAAACAGTTATGAAGTAGCAATAAAATAATTTTATGGCTGGGGCCACCACAGCATGAAGAACTGTGCTAAAGGGCCTTAGCATCGGGAAGGATGAGAACCACTGATCTAGGGTGATGGGGTGACACGGATGTGCCTAGCAGTCTGCTCTCTCAGGCTTCTTTTGAAAGATATGACTGTTGCTCGTTATATTCCCTAGCACCAAGGGGCATGTGTGGTGTGGCTATTACTGCTCTGGGATACACAGTCAAAGACATTGTAGCTCCCTTAACCTCTTTTGATATCTCTTTGCACTTTGACAGGTGAAGATGTTGACCTTTTTGACATGAAACGGTTCCAAAGTTCCTTTAAGAAAATTCTTCAGAGAGCATTAAAAAATGTAAGAAAACGGTCCTCTTGGCTTTCTACAAAATTCAATTTAGTGATACCTAGGGAGGGAGAGAGGATAATATGCCATTACCTTAACAGACTGAAAAAATATAAAAACTTGCATCTCTCACCTGCCCATCCCACACAGTACTTTTTAGGAGTAGTGGTGTCCACTGGAACTCTGCCCTGGCAGAAGCGTCCTCTGCTGACAATGTCCAGTTGCCACGTGAGGGCTTGATAGGTGGCTGATGTCACTGAGCAAATGAATCTTTAAACTTACTTAATGAATTCCCATTAGATGGTCCACATGTGACTAGTGGCTCTGCTATTGGTCAGCTGTCACTTTTGCTTTTGCAATGGGAAGTAAAGAGATCCAGAGTAAGACCCTCAGCTGTTCAACCAGTAGGGGCCACTGAGCCCCAGAGGAGAGCAAGCTCTACTGCTTACCATTCTGCAAACCCACAGCCCAGACAGGGAAAGTCCTTCCTCATTGTACCAGGGGTCAGGACAAGCAGCTGAGTGCAGAGTTGCTCTGAGCCAGCAGACAGTATAACCACCTGCTTTTCCTGGAGTAAGATCCCAGAGGGAGGAAACAGCAAGCCAACTGGCCCTCTCTTTAGGTTCTCCTTTCTTGGGTCAGGGCCCAAAGGGAAGGTGGACTGGAGCTAGCTGATGACCTAGCAGTGGCTATTAAATTCCAGAGCAAGTGCAGTCATAGCTGCAGGTTTAGAAAGACTGATGGCTGTTTGTGACATGGATACCACACAGAACCTCATGTGCTGCCACATCCCCAAGTGGCTCTAGCAGCTGAGTGGTGCGGAAGAATATCGGGATCAGTTGACACATAGAAATCCTGCTGTCAGCTTCGGTGCGAAGCAAGTGTGCTAGCTAGCAATACTAGAAAGGCTTCATAGAAAAAAACACTGCTCCCTTTTTTTTTTTTTTTTTTTGGTTGGGTTTATTTTATTGTATTTTATTGTGTTATATTTGAGATAGACTCTACTACGTAGCCCTAGCTGGCTAGAACTCACAAAGACCTGCCTGTCTCTGTCTCCCAAGACTGGGGAAAAAGCTGTATCCAGCCAGATAGATCATTTTATTTTATTACTCTATGTGTGTTAATGTTTACATGTATATCTGTGCACTGAGTGCCTGTCTGTCTGGTGTCTGCAGAAGTCAGAAGAGGGCACCAGATCCCCTAGAACTGTAGTTATGGATAGTTGTGAGCCACCCCATTGGTGGTGCTAGGAACCAAATCATGGTCTTCCTCAAAAGCAGCAAGTGCTCTTAACCTGTGAGCTGTCTCTCTGGCCCAATTCTAAGTTGTTTTAAGGGATTTTTTTTCCTTAAAAAAAAAAAAAAAAACTTTGTAAGCTGGAAATATATCTTTCCACCCCCCACCCCCTTTGGTTTTGTTTTGTTTTGTTTTTTTTTTTTTGTTGTTTTGTTTTGTTTTCAAGACAGGGTTTCTCTGTGTAGCTTTGGAGACAGAGATCCACCTGCCCCTGCCTCCCAAGTGCTAGGATTAAAGGCATGTGCCACCACCACCCAACTATATCTTTATAAAATAATCATAAAATGTTATTCCAAAGAGTCCAAAAACCATGTCATAAAAGTCAAAAGAGCCAATGTGATTGATGGGTCAGCCAGTAGTTACTTGCTGCCTAGCCTGATGGACCGAGTTGGCTCCCGGGGACACATGTGTCAGAAGGAGAGAACTGGCTCCTGCAGATTGTCCTCTGACCTCCATATGTGTTCTGTGTGTGGCAAGTGTGTGCCCTCACATATACTTACAAATAAATATAACTTAAGTAGAAAACAAAACTGTCAGGTATCCACGCGCATGAAAAACTACAGTAACATTGCTTGTGTCTCAGGTACCATGATGATATAACCAGGACGCTTACATCTTTTCTTTACAAGGTTACGGTCAGCTTCAAAGTCGACGGGAACAATGCCGTGTGGATTAGGGTTGCCTGGGGAACACAGTATTCACAGCCAAACCAGTACAAACCCACTTTTGTGGTGTATTATCCCCAGACTCCATATGCCTTCATTTCCACCTGCCATCTGAAGAGCACTGTACCCCTTCTCCATCAGGTAGGAAACAGATTACAGCAGCCACAAAGGTCCACATAGGTATAAATGCCAATAATATTTAGTGTAAAGAAACCTAGTTCCTGCTCTTCTAAGGTAAGGATCAAAGAGCTTTCTTCTTCTCCTCCTTCTCCTTCTTCTTCGTCTTCTTCTGTTTGTTTTTTGTTTTGTTTTTGGAGACAGGGTTTCTCTGTAGCTTTGTAGACCAGGCTGGCCTTGAACTAACAGAGATCTGCCTACCTCTGCCTCCCTGAGTGCTGGGATTAAAGATATGCACCACCATCACCCAGCAGAGAGCTTTCTTACCTGCAGTGGAATGTAACAAAAGTATTAACTTAACTTGGTCTAGTCTTTTTTTGTTGTTGTTGTTAAATATAAAAATAATGCATGCTTAATATAAAAACAAATGGAACCAGTTCAAAAGGTAAAAGATGAGTCATCAAAGCTCTGCCCTTCTTTCTACTCCCTATTGTCATCTTGCTGTCTCCTTCTAAGGCTGTTTGGTCAGTATCACCAATAATGCTTTTTGTATTTCTATATTCTGCTTACTAGCAATTTGCCATTGTGACCACTTTCCATACATAGTGTATGCAAAAATATTACCTGTGTCAGAGGTAGCCCCTCTCCTTTTTAATGGGTCTGCCTTTGTGTCTTAGTCAGTGTTGTATTGTTGTGGAGAGACACTATGATCAAGACAATTCTTATAAAAGGAAGTATTTCATTGGGGGCTGGCTTACAGTTTCAGAGATAAAATGCATTATCACCATGCTGGGAGTATGGCTGCACACAAGGCACTGGAGTAGTAGCTGAGAGGGAGCAACATCCTGATCTACAGGCAAAGGGGCTGAGGGGGAAAACTGGGACATGGGCTTTTAAAACCGCACACTCATCCCCAGTGACACGCTTGCTACACCTACTGCAACCAGGCCACACTTTCTAATCCTTTCACACATTTCTTTCCCTGGACAAAGCATTCAAATATATGAGCCTGTGGAAACCCTTCATATTCAAACCACACTTTGGTATCACAGGTGTCCTGGCTTCTTTCCATAAGACAATTCCTCCCAAATTTGGCCTAGTCATTACTACTCCCCCTGTTAGCATCTTCTGTCCTTCCAGAACTCAAGCTTGAGCTGGGTGCCATGAGCAGCTCTCTGGTTGGCTGCCTGGTTCCCACACACCTATCTGCTAAAGCACCTCACAGTCCATTGTCAGTAGCAGGCCCCAGGATCCCAAAAGTGAGTAACAGGTCATAGGATTAAATTTCTTAAACTTCTTTTCTTCTTGGGGTTGTTGTCGTTTTCAGCTGGGGCTCCCCCCCACCAACCCTCACCACCCACCCCCAGCCTCCTCAGGGCTGGGATCCTGAGCTTCCACACAGTGTTCTTTTCATTCTTAGTTGTAATGCCTGCATTTAACTTAGCAAGGTGTGCAGACCCAGCTGCAGTCCTAACAGTCTTGCTCCTTTCCCTCCAAGGCCCTGAAAATTGCTAGCAAACACCATCAGATCGTGCAAATGGATCTGAGAAGCCGGCACCTGGACTCGCTCAAGGCTATTGTTTTTAAAGAGTATGACCAGGTGAGCCAGTGAGCAACTCTTTACAGTTGAGTTTTCCTTTACTCTTGTGCACACTGAACAGGTGGAGGGCCACTCCCAGCCTGTCCCTGGAGGTAAGTAGATGAGGCTTTCAGTCACTTCACTTTGTTCATGTTTGCTTGTTTTATTCTTTCACAATTTCATACTTATATAATGTACTTGGATCATATTGTTCCCATCATCCTCCTATCCGCTTCCCTGTCACACCAAACCCCTTCTTCCCAACAAGTCCCCTTCCTACTGTCATGGGGCTGGTGTTGATTCTTTTAAGCCTTCTGCATTTAATTAGGGCTGCTGGCATGAATATGGATATGGGGTTATTTCCTAGCAAGAGCACTATGAATTGGCTACACTGAGCAATTCAACTTCTTTCCCCTAACCATTAACCGCCTAGAGCTCCTCAGAAAGGGGTGGGGCCTCATGAGCCCTCCTCCATCCAGGATAAAATGATGGAATGTTTGGATGTGGTATTTCATCGGGTCCTAAAACAACCATGCTGCACAGCTTGCTGTCCTAAGACCTAGGCTCAGCATATACAATATAAGACCTCTTTTTCAAAAAATAAGATTTTCCAGGCACTAGTAGTATACATATTTAATTCTAGCACTTGGGAGGCAGAGGCAAGCGGATCTCTGAGTTCAAGGCTAGCCTAGTCTAACAAGCAAATTCCAGGACAGCCACAGCTACACAAAGAAACCTCATCTCAAAAAAACAAAGATAACGATTTAACACATTTTACATCTTAGAACCCAATTAATATCTATATAGCATAACATGTTCACCTTTTCTTTCTCCTCCTAGACCTTTGAAAGTCACAACTCTGCAGTGCCTCTACAAGAAGGAAGCCTTGGACTAGACATGAATTGTATGTGTGCGTTAAGACAGTTGAGGTTGGGAAGGGCATCTTTGCCTTTCAGATGGCTGCTATACAATAAAGCAGTTGTGCTTAGGATCTCATTGCAGAGCTAGTTCATACTTCAGAAAAATCAAGAAATGAGCCTTTGGAGGCAGAAAGTCAAGCTAGCACAGGTGTTCTACAGAGTTCACAAGAATGACAGTCACTGAGAGTGCCTTTCATGCCCACTGGATACCAGAATATTTGCATGAGATGTCACTTCAGTGTTCACAGCTGTTCTGTGAAGTGGCACTACTGGGAAACTGAGTTTCAAGAAAGCTTGAATGGAGTCACCGAGCTAGGTCTGTCCAAGGTGGAGCCCATGCTCTTAGTGAGCTGGGTACGCTGGTTCTAGAATAATATGGTGGTTGCATTGCTATTCACTCACAGAGAACCTGAGTGTCTCCCTAGAAACTGAAGGTAAAAGTGGAAGAAAAGAGAACCCATATTAGGAACAAAGCACAGACTCCAGAGGCATAAGGCCTGCTGTGGGTCCCATGTTAACCAAAGAAACTTGATACAGAATTACTCATAGTAACTATAGAAAGTGTATTAGAACTTAGACAGTGTACTGGCACCATAGGTATTTCTTACTCCCTTTTGTTAGCCTGTGCTTTCCAACTCTTCTGGGTAATAACTTTTATAATGATGAAAAGAAGGGATAGGAAATATCTGAGCTACACAAATCATCTCAATCCAAACTCTCATTCACAGTGGATTCAAACATCATTCATGAAAACATGGAAGAAAAAGAAAGAATCCAAAGAATCACTCAAAAGACATTTGGAGCCTATCCACAGCCACAGCTGGAATTTGCACAGTATAAGGTAGGATGGTGCAGTGAACATCACATGTAAGTTAGTGTTTTGGTTTGTTTTTTTTTTTTTTTTTTTTTTTGTTTTTTTTTTTTTGGGGTACAGAAACCTTAACTGGAAAACATGTCCAAAAACTATTCCTTTTTCATTTATTACTTCAGCTTTATGTAACAAATTTGTAAGTTACATATCTTTTTATTGTATTTGTAAGTTCTCTTTTTAGCAAAGGAGACACCCTGAATTTTGAATTTGCTTTTGCATTTTGTCTTTGTAGTAATTTGGTTGTATATTGCTAGTTGGGGGGATGGAGGAGGACTGTACCATACTAGCCTATGCACACCTAGAACAGTATTTGGCATATAGTAAATGCTCATAAGTACTTGCATGAAAGAGCTGGGTATGGTGGCACACACCTGTAGTCCCAGCACTTAGGAAGTTGAGACAAGAAGATCTCAAGTCCAAGATACTTAGCAAGTTGGTGGCAAACCTGCCCTGGCTGACTTAGAAGCACAAAAACAAGAAAGCATATACACTGCTTAGCTCCACCGGCACCAAATGAAATGTCAGTAGTACAAATGTACTGCAAATTAAACTTGTTACAAAGTGGTGTTGCTGCCCACCACATGCCTGAGGAGTACAGGAGTTCAAGGCCATGGCCACCATTAGAAGAACTCAATTTATGTCATAGTCACCCTCACATCTGCCATTAGGCTCATTTAGGCCCAAAGGCTGTTTGGTTGATTTGTTCTTAAAGGAAGATGTTGGTGTTTTTCATGTTGTTTTTGGAGATTTTATGTTTGTTAATGTGTGTGTACACACAGCTTTGTTCACTTGTACTCACAGTTATGGATGCCAAAGATCTGTGTCGGATATCTTTTGACCTTATTCTTTGAGACAGGATCTGTCACCTTGCCTAGAGCTCCTTTTTTGCTGGACTGGGTGCAGGGAGCCCCAGCTTCTTCCTGCCTCTTCCTTTCTCCCAAGTGCTGGGGTTATACATACATGCCACCACACCTGGCTTTTACATGGGTGCTAGGGACCCAGACTCTGGTCCTAATGCCCAAGCAACAAGCACTTTACCCACTGAGCCATCTTTCCAGCCTGCTTATTTGTTTTTCAGACAAGGTCTTGTAGCCGAGGCCAGCCTCAAATTCACTTTGTGGACAAGGCTTGCCTAAACTTCTGAACCTCCCACTTCCTCCCTGTCATACTTATTTGTGTTGTATTGACTGAATGCCTTTAAAGAGATCCTAAAGTAGGACAGTAGCTCTCAGGGTGTGGTCTCTGAACTGGTAGAACCAGTCATGTGAGAATGGGGGGGTGGAGCATAGATCCTGAGTCAGGGTGGGGTGTGTCCATTCACCTCCATCTGCTGTCTGCCTGCACTGGGCTCCACACAAGCTGGAGAGCCACTGGTTCAGGAGATAGTTTGCCTGTGTACCATCTTAGAATTGTTGTGTTCTGATAGTCTAGGTGTGCACTCACTCACTCACACCTGATTTTCTCCAGCCTCAGGAAATGGCCAGAATATGATACTGCATGCCACTTGTGCACATTAACTAGCCGATGGCTACATTTGCCATGTCCTCTTTCTCTTCTAAGTATAATTTGAACTCATTGCAGACATCAAGTATCACTTAGATACTTCAGCATAGTGCCTCAAAGTTTTAAAAATCACTCGCATTTTTTGTTTTTAAAACGTGAGCATATAGGAGACACAGACAGAAGAATCACTCCAAGTTCAAGCGGCTGGTCTACCCAGGGTCCCAGGGCAGCCAGGCCACAGTGAGGCACTGCTTCCAAACAGAAAAGGAAAACCTAGGGTCGTGTACTATGCTTAGGTATCTGATGATGTTAAAGAATTGTTTGTGTTTTAAGGTGATAGCTCAGAAGTAGAGTGCTATCCTAGTCACTGTTCTGTTGCTGTGAGGAAAACCATGACCAAGGAAACTTGTAGAAAGACATTTAATTGGAGGCTTGCTTATAGTTTCAGAAGTTTAACCCATTATCCTCATAGTGGTGAATATAGCAGCACGTAGGCAGGTACTGAAGCAGTAGCTGGGAGCTACAACTTTATCCACAAGCAAAGAGAAAGACTTTTGAAACCCCCAAGCCCACCCCTGGTGACACACTTCCTTCAACAAGACCATACTTCTTAATCCTTCTAATCCTTTCAAATAGTACCACTCCTTGGTGAGCAGTGGTGGCACAGGCCTTTAATTCCAGCACTTGGGAGGCAGAGGCAGGTGGATCTCTCCTAGTTTGAGGCCTCCTCTGGTCTACCCAGCTAGTCCCAGGACAGGCTTCAAAGCTACACAGAGAAACCTTGTCTTGGAAAAAGAAAAAAAGCATCACTCCCTAATGACTAAGTTTTCAATATATGAGCCTTTGTGGGCCATTCTTATTCAGAACATCACCAGTGTTTGCATACATTACACCCAACACCTGAAAAATTAAAAATAAGCATTCCAAAACATTGGCTGTAATTTGCACATTCGGAGGCTGATGTTAGAGAGCAGGTTCAAGACCTAGTCTACATAGCAATGATGTGTGACGGTAACATAGAGATTCCTTTTGGGCCTCTTTTAGATACATACTGAAATATTTACAGGTCAGATACTACGTTGTTTTAGATTTGCTCCAGTCTGGGGGGGGGGGTGAGGGGGAGCACTAACATGAATCCAGAGTTGTTGATAACTGGTTCAGCTGGAATGTGCTACTTCTGTGTGATAGGGTTGGCTTGGGAAGGGTCCTTGGGGTCAGTTGGCTGTTGAGATGATGTCTGGTCTCAAACTTGGAATCCTTGACTTGGCTCCCTGGAGCTAGGATTGATTATAAGCATGTGCTACTACACATCCAGCTTCTAGATATGTTGAGTCTTCTGTAATAGAATTTAAAGTTTTTTTTTTTTTTCTATGTGTGTGTTTTTGCCTGAATGTGTATAATGTACCAGATGTGTGCCCAATGCCTGCGGAGGCTAGAGGCAGTGTAGAATCCTCTGGAACTGGAGTTATGGACAGATGGTTGTAAGCTGCTATGTGGGTAATAGGAACCTAACCCAGGTCCTCTTAACCACTGAGCCATCTCTCCAGCCCTGAGATTTACAGCTTTTTTGTTGACTGCAAAATGTATTGGGCACATGAGGGCAGCACAGACTCTTGTCTCCTACAGGTCAGGAACTATCCTGGGATAGTGCTGACACTCAGCCTCACCTGTAGATCAGTACCCTGCTGAGGACTCTGCTAGTACTCCCTGTGTTGGATGCCTTTCCTATACCAAATGCTTTCTCTCTTTGCAGTTAGCAAGTTAAATGGGCTCTGCTTGTATTAACCCTTGTATTTCTCGAAGGCAGGGATTAATGGAATACATAAATTGTTCATTATCTCTCACCATCCTAGCCGATTCCAGGTCTTAACCATAATTTATAAGCATTTTTGTTTGACAGCTGGAGACCAAATTCAAGAGTGACATAAGTGGGGGCATCTTGGCTGACAGGAAAGAACCTCTACGGTGCCTTGTAAAATTCTCAAGCCCACACCTTTTAGAAGCTTTGAAATCCTTAGCACCAGCCGGTGAGTGGTCAGCGAGTCTTACTTGCCAGACAGCTGCTTTTGATTCTCAGTAGATGACTAGCTTGTGACCTCTGGGCGTTCCTGCCTCTGCAGTCTCCTTCTGCGCTTAGTAGAAGGCGACCATAATTTGCTTCTGGTCATAACCAGTTTTAAACTGATGGTTCCCATGTTCATTCTGATGTGTTTTTTTCTTTTTCATTCTCCAGGTATAGCAGATGCACCACTTTCTCCACTGCTCACCTGCATACCAAGCAAGAAAATGAATTATTTTAAAATTAGAGATAAATGAGATAGATGTGGCTTTGCTTATATTGTATGTGCAGTTCCAGTTGTGGCTGGCTGGCTTCTGTGTATACTCTTATATTTCAGAAATCAGTCCTTGGCATTGGAAATTCAATGCTGTTAATGTAAGTATTAGGACTAAATATGTCCTCCCTATATGCTCTAGCTCCTCTCTCCTACTAAGTACAGCAGCTGTGAGTACTTGGGAAGTAACATCACACGCACACTCAAGTGCACACACACATACACACACACACTTACACATGAGAGGCTTCCAGTTGACCTTAACACTGGGATGCTCAGAAGCCAAGCGTATGACACAGTGGCTGATCTTGCTAGCATCACACCAAGTATCCTTTATCCCACTCCTTCTGGTCCTAGGAGGTCTAGTCTCAGGTGCGGTTTTCTGTGAAATTTCTGAAACTATGCAACCCAAAACTTATACAAGAGTCAGAGGGGAGAGCTGGGTGTATTAAGTTACCACACCTGGGCTGCATATCTGGTGGCTTGTTTCTATAAAATAGCTGTTCTATTGTACATATGTGAAATATTCAAATGAACTTCACTGTTATATTGATTTGTGAATAAAGATATTGGCAAACTGGCATATCAGTTGCTTTGGATGAAATCAAACAGACTGAGTAGAATGTATAAATACAGCGTGAAAGAACTAAATAATGCTATATAAGACTGGGTCATCCAGTATGATAAACTGTATGTTTTTATATGTAAAGTGATCAGATGTGTCAAGCACTGCCCTTGCCCCTGAGTAATGAGAAGATATTGTGCTGGCTAGTTCTGTCAATGTGGCAGCTAGCTAGAGTTATCTGAAGAGGGGACCTCAGTTGAGAAATATCTCCATAAGATCTGCCTGTCGGGCATTTTCTTAATTAGTGATTGATAAGGGAAGGCCCAGCCCACTGTGGGTAGTGCCATCCTGGGGTAGTGGGTTTTGTAAGAAAACAGATGGAGCAAGTCAGGGGAAGCAAACCAGTAAGCAGCACCCCTCCAAGGCCTCTGCATCAGCTCCTTCCTCCAAGATCCTGCCCTTGTTTGAATTGCTGTCCTGATTTCCTTCAATGTTGAACTACAATGTGGAAGTATAAGCCAGAGAAACCCTATTCTCCCCAACTTTTTGGTCACGGTGTTTCATCACAGCAATAGAAACCCTGACTAAGACAGTCTCAAAGATGCTAACACCCTCTATACATACTTTTTTTTTTTTTCCTTTATAAAGATTTTAGCATTCAGTCAGTGGTGGCACATGCCTTTAATCCCAGTGCTTGGGAAGCAGGGACCAGCCTGGCCTACAAAGTGAGTTCCAGTACAGCCAGGACACAGAGAAACCCTGTCTGGGAGAGAATAAAAAGATTTTAGGATTTTATTTTATGTATATGTATTTTGCTTGCATCTGTATATGTGAGCCACATTCATGACCAGTGCCCTCAGAGATAAGAGAGCATTGGATCACCTGGACCTGGGGATATAGATGGTTGTAAGCCCATGTTGGTATAAGAAATCAACCTGTCCTTTGCAGGGACAGTAAGGGCTCTACGATGCCCTTTAACCATTGCCATGACCAGTCACATACTGAGAAGACATTCTGCCCACAAGGTGCCTGAATGACCAAATGGGTACTGCAGAAGTCCTGTAGCTTCCTGGAGTATTTTACTGCTTCAGAGCTCTCTGGTATGGCAGGAATGATGATCTGGAACCTGAACAAGTCTCATCATATCTATTATCTTCCTCTAACAGTATCATAGCCTGCATCCTGTGGATCTCCCAAAGTGAGACTCCTACTTAAAATTTGGGGCTTCTCAGACTTAACCTACTAGATACCTGATGGATATCTGCAAATGCTTGGGCACAGATACTGCAGCAAATGCAAAGCCAAAGACCTTGACAGTTAGGAGAACTGACTCAGTCCCTGTCTTAGTTACTTTCATATTTTAACAGAACACTATGACCAAAGCAACTTGTAAAAGAAAGCATTGGCCAGGTGAGGTGGCACACACCTTTAATCTCAGCACTTGGGAGGTAGAATCCAGTCTCTGAGTTCGAGGCTGGCCTGGTCTACAAAGTAAGCTCCAGGACAGGCAGGGCTATTACAAAGAGAAATCCTCTCCCAAAAACAAACAAACAAAAAAACATTTAATTGGGGGCTCACAGTTCCAGAAGAATAGATTTCATGTCCATCATCGGAGGGAATATGGCAACAGGCAGGCAGGCTGGGAGCAGTAGCTGAGAGCTTACATCTCCACAAACTTGTGGCAAAGAGGAAACTGGGAATGGCTTGGGCTTTTGAAACCTCAGAGCATACCCTGTGACACACCTCCTCCAACAAGGCCATATTACCTAATCCTTCCTAAACTTTCACTGAGACCCAGATTTTCAAACATGAACTTATGGCAGCCATTCTCACTCAAACCACCAGTCCCCAAAGTAATAGCTGTACACTGAACACTCCACATGTGGCAAGCACTGTGGTATTCAGTTACCTCATATGCATTAACTCAAGTCCAAGCTCATGAGTGTGCAGTAGTTTAACCTTTGTATTAGTGAACAGTGTTGAGGACAGTTTTGCCTTGTAACCTAGCTATCTTGAGCCTGTCCTACTGCTTTCTGAGTGACAGGTGAGCCACCATCTCCAACAGCATTACTAACCTTATTTTACTGACATGAATATCCATCCAGCAGTCAGTCTTCACAGCCTAAGGTCATCCTGAACAATTCTCAAACATGTGCATCATGGTCCCTGGAATCTTGAGTATGTTCCCAAGGCAAAGGGATCCTGCAGTTAAGTGAAAGGATCTGTCAAGGTGGTGGGAAATGTGATGATGATTGAAGACGTCCGTTATGAAATGTGACAGATTCAACTCCCCATTACTGATTTTGGTGTAGAGGAAGGGGGCCATTGGCAAAGAAATGAAAATGACCTCTAGAAGCTGGAAAAAGCAAGGTCCCTGGAGCATTAAGTAAAAACCAGCCCTGGCCCAGATGGTGGTGGTGGACACTCGGACAGCCAAGACTACACATAAACCCTGTCTCGAAATGGGGGGGGGGGGAAGCCAGCCCTGTTGTCACCTTAATTTCAGCTGGGTAGATCTACTTCAGACTTCTGCCCTCCTCAGAGATAGAAGATAATTAGTCTTTCTTGGCTGGGCATGTAGTTCGGCTGGCAGAATACTTGCCTAACATGTACGAGGTCCTCGGTTCGATCTTCAACACCACAAACCAGGCCCAGTATAATTCCAGCACTAGGGAGGCAGAGGTGAGAGAGTCAGGAATTCAAGGGCTTCTTGATTATTTGGGGAGTCTGAGACCAGGCTGGGCTACATGAGACTGTCTCAAAAATAAAACAAATGTGTGCTTTGTTTTTAAGTGCTGCAGATCAAACCCAAGGCTTTTAGCATGCTAGGCAAATGGTCTACAATATAAAACTAATTCATAATAATAATAATAAAACATCAGCCAAAAAAATAAAACTAAAAGCATCCCTTTTTCTTCTGTTCAGATATTGCCTGAACTAGGGTCCAGGGAACCCATCCAGTTCACCTGTTCTCACTCCCCAGACGGATGCAACTCCGATACGCGCTCGCCACGGCCGGCTGGGGGCGCTGCAGCGGCCGCTCAGCCGGATGCTAATGAGCCCGGCAGCCCCGCCCCCTGCCGGAAGTGGCTGCGGCGGGGGCGGGCACTGAGAGAGGGGCCTGGTGGCCGTGCGGGAGCCATGGCGGCCACGGAGGCGGCGGCGGCTGGGTCCGCGGCTCCGGCCCCGGGTGTCCCGGCCATGCCGGCGAGCGCGCGGGGAGCCGCCGCCGCCTCGGGGCCATGGGGGGCGTCGGAGTCGCGCCTTCACGGCAGCCGACCGCGACCGCCCAGGGCTCGGGCCGTGGTCCCGGTGCCACCCGCCCGGGAGCTGATCCAGCCGTCTGTGAGCGAGCTGTCCCGGGCTGTACGCACCAATATTCTGTGCACTGTGCGTGGCTGCGGCAAGATCCTGCCTAACAGTCCTGCGCTCAACATGCACCTAGTCAAGAGCCACCGACTGCAGGTGAGCGGGCCGCGGCGGGGGGCGCGGGGTGTGCGGGCTGCCCGGCCACCTGCGCCCTATCGTGCACGGAGGTGAGCGCGAGAGCACGGGGCGCGCACACGCACCGGGCCAGCAGCTTCTCGGTGGCGTGCCCACAAAAGCTCAGCCCGCGGGTTCCTTGGATGAGCGACAGGTGATGCCACCTAAGCACCTGGGTGCAACCCCACGGGCTCTCCACCCCTTACACGAAACCGCCCGGTGGGTCCTACCCAGTCAGTCATTCAAAAGCAGCTGCGGGTTGGGCTCTCAGCACTTGAGCTGCAAGTTTCACAGGGTTGTTAAGATCGACTCAGCCCAGGAATGAGAGGGGAGGGGAGGCTTCTATATGGATTGTTAGGAGGTCCACCGGTTGATAACACGACAGTAGTCTGAGCAAGACCTCCCCGTGTTATGTAAAAGGAGACAGTGACTTTCAAACCTATAGTATATTCTGGAAGCTTGGTAAAAATCAGATGTTGGGACACACACATACACTCTGCATCTCAGCTTTTACAGAAGGAAGCTCTCGTCCACCATCAGATCTCTATGCTGGCAGTGATGTAAAACCAGAAAACATCTCTAAAATATTTGTGCATGTTACCCTGGTCGGACCTAAGGGTCGAATCAAAGGATTGCAGTCTCTGTCTAACCTTCGGGTAAATCCACCTTGATCATGTCCCATGAGCACTGATCAGCGGCTCAGAGTTTTAGTCGCTGTAGTAGGGCAAATAAGTGTATATTTGAGGGTGACCCGCCTTTACTTAGCAGCTGCACTCAGAAGACAGTGATCTCATAGAAAGGTCAGTCAGGAAATGTCAGCGGGGCCATGCTGAGGAAGTCTATGCAAAAGTTTGGGCCTCCTTCCAGCACAAAAGTACAACTCACCATGGACAGTTTTCTCTTTCATCCTAAATGTTGATGAAACCCTCCCTTTTTCTCACTGCAGTTTAGGTGAAAAGTGAGTGTGTAAGATTTCTACAACCCAATTTCAGTTCCTTGTAACTTAAAT